GATTGAGAAAATATCACCACGAGAAATCAGGTTTTCTCATCACAGGAGGTAATGGGAAGGCCTCTGGATACACTACCGGATGTGGCTCCCCCCCCCCCCCCCCCCCGCCGCGCGCGGCACGCTGGGTACGGGGGAGAAGGGTGTCGGACCTTCGGGGGGGAGTGGATCATTTAGCTGAAGAGTTTTCAAATGGAGATGTTTAAAACAGGCTTTTAAACTCTGTTATGATTTTACTTTATGGTAATGGTCCGTTGTATATGCAAGTTCTTTAGTCTTCAGAAATAGTCTTGTGGCCATTACAGCAACCTATTGAATGTTTTTTAAATTGTCTGAAATTTGAAGTATGGGCCTCGGACCAGAGTCTAGAATGGATACCTCTGGAGGGATCACTAAACAAAATTTGTTGCACGCTAGGATGAAATTATACTTCCAATGTTTTCTGGGATGGAATGCAATGGGTTTGTGGCATTTACCCCAGATTACTGGGGTAGTTTGGAGGAGAAAATGTATAGAGATATGCATTGATTGATATATAACATCACCTCACAGAAACAGGTGGTGTTACTGATGACATTTTTGAATTTTGAGTTGATGTAAAACCCTGATTCTTCCATAAAGACCTTTAGAGTTACGTGCATTTGCAAAAAGAAGCTCAGAATTTTCCTGTATTTTGCATGCCTGCCTTGAAAGTGTGGTGGGGTAAAAGCCTTGTGGGGATCTCAACAACTGCAGGATTCGATGTCCCTGCTCACGCGTGCTCCTTGGTCTCTTGCGGTGGCACTGTATTTTCTAGTTCAGCATTTCCCTGGTAAGTAATGACAAGAGCAGACTGCCAGCAAGTTTGCTTTCCTTGATGACCATAGCTGGTTTTGAATGAATGAAAACAGAAGGCTGTTTTAAACCACCACTGACTTGGGCCATCAGCACTTATTCTTACATTTGCATCTGCTTGCTTTCCCATTCTCTTTCAGTTGATATTCCTTTGTTATGCTAGAATGAGGATTAAATGGAGGGCAGGAGTCAGTTTAATAGACACTTACAAAGACAAATAGCTAGAAAACATGTTCCTGATGTGTTACCGTTACCTTGCAGAAAGAGGTGTGATTTGTCCAGGCAATCCCCATCTTCTGTCAAACCCAGGTTAGGGTTCCAAAAGAAATACTACATGAACGTAAAGTGTATACAGACAAATGGCTGCAAGTTCATAATAATTTTATCCTCGTGTATATGTATACAAATCCATGGAAAACAGGATATAATCCTGTCCAAATATGTTGATAATTATGCATATAAAACATTCAGAACCCAGAGCAAGAGTATAGTGGTGAATTGAAGCTGAGATTACTTAAGAGTATATAGCATCATTAAAAGGTACATAGATGGAGAAAAAAATCAGCCATGCTTGTCTTTCCTTGATTGATGCTAAAGTAAGGTTTATATAGATAATTATCTCATCTAAATAATGGCTAGTTTTAGTGTCACCTTTTATTTTTCCAGCAGATGAGGATTTATTAGGCGATGGAAATTCTATTAACAGGAAATGAGTCCAATTTGGCTTTGCAAAATACAGCATGGGCCAAGTCCAGACTTACAGGCATCATTTGTTAAATCATTCTGTAGCATTGTAGTACAGGGGAGGGTAAGTTCTGAAGTTTACAAGCATCCTTCTTTACATTTACGTATTAATTTTGTTCCTCAAACAAATCATTGTAATTACTTGGAGGTAGGCTAGAGAGCTCCAGAATAATCATGTTGGAAGACTTTGTGTGTGCTTTTAGCGTTTTAGTTTCTTCTTAACAAAAGACAGATGTGATACAGATGTGAGCAGAATGTGAATGCCGTGGGGCATCTGTGCGACACTTTCCTTTCTTTTTGTCAGTGATGAAACCGGCATGGACGTGACCTCTGATGGAGGTTGGAGCTCTGCATTCCAGAAATGTTGCTCAGCTTAGCACAGGGCAGTGTTGGGAACCCGCTTGTTCACACGATAGTAGTGTGCATGCACTGAACACACGTTGTGGTTCTGGGATGCTGTTCAGACAAATTGAGCTGCTGCAGTCGATTTGGCTGATGAGTGATTGGATATTCACTTTCGTCAGCTCCTGATCAATAACAACTATACTTAACCCTTCATAATATTAGAACCCTTCAGTGTTTGTGCAAAACCACTGCTATTTGGTTTTATCCACGACTTTTTTACTTAATCCAATAAAATAAGATCGGTAAATTCTGCTGATTTAAAAGCAAATTTCTATGGGGGCAGAGCCTTTGTTGCAATCCTGTGAAGCTGAAGTTGCACCACACTTTAGCCCAGGTTAAATGCAGCAGGACTGACTGCTTTCCTTCCTAACGATGCTATCTGGCAAATGGGCTTCAGATGTGTAGGGAGGTCATGCTGTATCATCTGTACTGTGGGAACATGATGCCATCTGACAGTATCTTACCCTCCCTCAGGGCTAGATGTCTCAGACTGCTTTATGCTGCTGGAAGAGCAGAGCATGACTGGGGGCTGGATGGAGAGTGGTGTAATTTTCTAAATTAGGATTAGTCCTTTGAGTCTGGCAGAAGGCCTAACTGGCATTACAGTATGGCCTTAGTATCATTCTACATAGGTGAACAAATTGACAGCCAGGACTCTGTTTTCCTTAGGTTATTTATAAAAATATTCAGCCAGTCTTATGCTAACCCTGGGAACAGCAGACTCTTGCTTCAGTAGTCATACTGTTTCAATGAAGATTTGCTCCTGAATTCCAAAGATAGTGTTGCTTATGATTATTTAAAATTGGTAAGGAAGTAAGATACTATGCTAGCTTATTTCTTTTTGTGAGATCTTGAAGCTTAGGTACTGATATTATCTTATTCATTCCGCTTCAGCTGATGTTTTTATAGCAGTTGTCCACTGGACTCAAATTTACCAGAGGGTGGAGAGATTAAAAAAGCAGGTATAAAGGAGTGAACCAGAGCCATTTTATACACATATGTGTATATATGGGGGAATAAGACACATGGAAATCTTCGCTTTTTTCATTCTGCTGTTCACAGAACAATTCGGGGGCATTTTTCTTGTTTTGAAGGCACAAAATTTGGCTTGCCTAGGCTGGCAACAAAAGCATTCATTTAAAAACTTGCCAGAATGCAAACTATTTGTTTTGGCATTTTTATCTTGCATGTGAGCAGGCCAACATGCTGCAATTTTTTATGCCAAAACCACATCCATTCTGGGCACCTATTTACTGTGAATGTAAAAATTTCTGGGTATGACTGAGGCTATTTACTGTCATCCAGATTTGCATTTTTCCAAAAGGTTCCAAGCTTATTTTTTTATTTATTATGTAAAATCCTGGACAATTAGATTTCCACCTGGCAAAGTAAAACAAATGCACTAGCTGCCAAGGACTATGACCAATGGCAGTGTGTGCTGTGCCAGTCAACTGCAAGTTTGCAGTGACAGCAAATGTACCGCTCCATCCCTGCAGCTGACTCTTACTGGTATCAAGCCTGACACGTACAGATGAAGAACCGTTTCTGTCCCAAACTAAACAGTAAGCCCAAAGCCTGTTTGTTGCAGAATACTCTATTTTAGACAACTTTATTTTTAATTGGTCAAAGAAAAAAAGCCTGATTCTTTCCTAGCATCTGAAATTTGATAATTTAGGCTATAATTTTCAAAGGTTAATACTTTTTCTTTATATTTGCTCTGTTGAAATTTCTTCTGGAAACATGGCAAGTTACCCTTACCAGAGTCCTCTGGAAAAAAAAGGTGTCTTACAGTCTTACAGTGCAGTAAGTGTAGTAAGGCTGGTGGAGCAGTGTCATGTAACCCATTTGATTTTTCTTGTAGTTGTTGCTTAGAAACATAGCAGTTGCGTAGCCTTAAGTTTAGAGTCCACTGCAATGTTTTGTTCTTCTGAGTGGTTATGCTGGCCAAACTGTCTCTCAAAAAACAAAACTATGTAATATTAGTACTGAGAGATGCAGTGAATGCACTAGGCTCTTTTTTACTGAATATCCTAAAACATGCTTATCAGTTGCAATGTAGTCCTGCTCACTCTTCAGTTGTTTAAACTTCTGCCATTACGTTGTGTGTTTGTGGTTAGCTGTAGTTAGTAGAACTACAGGTAAGTTGTGCCTGAATGGAAACTGAACAGAAAAGTTTGGGTTTTTGTAAAAAGGACTTGATTTTCTTTTGGTGTAAATTCTGATGTCAAGTATCACATCTGCTGATAGTCTCCACGCTTCTGGTTTTTGCCTTTCAGTCCTAAAATGCCTTGTAAGGGTCCCATTAAGACACAAATTCAGCGCTCGGAGGAAGCGCTGTTGTTATTAGTGTTGTTATGAATAGGTGACTTCAAGACTCCAATATGGCACCCTTCAACAACACTTAATTTACTTAAACTCTTAAAATCACAAACCCATAAACATCTTTCATAAATTAATTTGCTGTTGCAGAAGGACTCCGGGCCATGTGCATGCTTTTAATATTACCAAGTTAAATTGTCTTGGCTGCAGCTTTTTATTCACTGCAGAAAGCAGTGATATTCTCATTAGGTACATATTAGTTTTTTGATGGAATAATTTTGAGTAAGTAGAATATGTCAAGCACTGCAGCAAGATTACTGAGGTTCAAAGCACGGCCCTTTGCATTTTGTTAATATCATGTAATTCTTACTGGCATCTATGCAGTTGAAACAAGTGTAATGCATTTATGTCAGCATTTGGGTTAGGGATTTTAAAAGAGGCACTTCAGCAAGAAGACATAGTGGGGTTTTTTAAATGGAACTACACTTTTTGAACTACGCAATGCTTCTGGCCTGCTGCACAGTAAACCATTTTTCTGATTAATGTGTTGATACTGTGAATGTAAAAATCCTGGGGAAATGGTTTGATTGTGTGTATTTTAGAACTGTGATTGAAGTATCACATTTATCTTAACATTAAATTTCATGAGCTATAACTTGCCACAAAACAATTAAACATTATATTTTTGCCTTAACAGGACGATGGTGCTTTGTTTTCTGAGGAGAACACTGCAACTAGCAAGTCATTCATCCAGTCCACTGGGGAGACAACTCTCTTCAGCCAGTGCAAATAAGCCAGTGTTGACTTTATTCACCAAGGTAAAAGTTGTTTACAGAATAAAGCTAGGCAAGGCTGCGTGTTTATCAGCTTTGATATACATGAATCCCAGATGAAATGGCTTGGCCATACTTTTTGTCCCCTTCAAATTTGTGTAGTATTGGGCATTTACTTTGGGGGTGTCTTTTACATGAGGCTTTACGGCACAGTCCTACTCTCGTTGTAGCAAGCAACTAGTTACAACGAACAAATGAAGATTTCAAGATAGTTGTGTCTCAGTGACGCTATGGTCCATTTACTAGTTGAAAATTGTTCTCTTCTCTAACTGCCAGTGTTTCATCCTGGAAATGGAGAACAAAGATGAATTGTTATACGTAATCTGCCCAGGACAAGCATCAACAGCCAAAGTAGGCTCATCAAAGCACTCACGTTTAATTTCAGCACTACCTGTGAGACTGAAAATAGATCCAAGTAGTGTTGGTAGACACGGGGAAAAAGTAGATTGTGCTTTACCCTTGTTTTGCTTTATTGGCTATGTAACACTAACGGGAATAAAATGCAGGCAAAGGTTTGTCTGTGGCATGAGCAGACAGGATTCTTAAGCCTATTTAAAAAAATGGTCATTTGTGAACTGTCACCTTCCAGGAATTGTCATCAAGAGCCTGTGTTATCTGCAGAGATCTTATGTGCTTTTAGATAGGATGGCACACGGCGAGCTACGCTGCATTTATATAGTTGATGTAGCCTTCAAGAACAGAATAACTAGAAATGCAAAGCACTGAGAATGTTGACGTCTGTATGGCAGTATTTGTTGGACATTGAGGCGATTAAAATAATTTCCCCCTTCTGCACAATGTTTGTTCATTCCATCCCTAGCTGTAAAGGAGTGTTTAAACTGTGTAGCATATGAATAGGTTAAAAAATAAAAGGTCACCATCTGTTTATTAATCAGAACAATGCATACTATAAGAACTATACCTGAAAGTTACAGCTCTCTCTCCCCCTGCCTGATTTAGAATCAACTCATTTATAATCCAAATGTGATAAGGTATGGAATAATGAGCTTACCTTTGGGTTAATAATTGGAAAAAAGCTCTTTGTATGATTTCTGTGTCTTAAAATTTCTAACTAGTAAGACATTGTATGAAATAAAATTTTGTAATAGCAGAGTTCAAGTAGTTGTCTCAAGTGGCCTCTTGTTGAATGTGGTTTTAACTGAAAATGTTTTTCATGTCTGATACCACTGGCAATTGCAAAGCAAAATGCAGACTACTTTAAAATAAATCTAATCTGCACTCTTAGTTTATGCTAATTAACTCCTTTTTCACTCCTTCCTATTTTTAAGAATAAGGAGAAAAGAAGAGGAGAAGGCAGGCGGGAGCTATGACTTCTGCAGCCCCTTCAAACTGATAGAAGCTAGCACTGACAAATGGTTTTCTCCTCGCAGGCTCCTTTTATGCCAACACAAGCATTTGTGCAACAACTGCTCCAGGTTAAAAAAAAAAAGTTTCAAAAGTTTCACTGTTAGTTTATATAGTTCACTATCTGATTTTAAACCAGTTCCAATCTTATTAGTACCACATAGTGCTTAAACTTGCCATCAGAGCAGGAGTAAAAACATATTCTTTGCTAAGAGTCAACTTATTTTGTCAAAAGCTTTTATGTGACTGTTATGTTAGAATGCTCTCCACAGGCCTAGGGGAACGGAGTATGTCTTACTTTAACTGTAAGGAGCCTGGCATGTTACAAAACTGCTGTGCAGCATTCTTGGACGTTCCTTTCAGTTACCAATATCAGGTATATCAGTCCCTCCAAAAGCGACAGGAATTAGCCAGAAGACAGCACGATTGATCTTTAGCATCTTGCATAGGTTTTCAGAGCATAAGGACTTGTCTGTATGGGAAAGACAATTTAGATTAGATGTGAATTAAAAGTAGAGTATTTAATCCAAATTAATTCACACACAGGAAATAAGAAGTAGCTGTTTCAGATTAACTCCGTGTTTAAACAAGCCGTAGGAAGACTTTAGGTGGGAGGGAGAGGAGGTGGTCTTTTCCAGCTGAGAGGTATTTTGTGGCAGAAGGACAGAGCCATCACCTTCACCACTGTATACTTTGCTTTGTGAATTATAGACCAAATTCTGCCATTACAAACACTGAAGCAATGTGCCTTCATGTGAGTCACTTCTTCAGGTATGCACTGCTCTAATGGTCATGACGCACTATCAGCAGAAGTCAGCTGTATAACTGTAGTGGAAGACCAAGGAGTTTTCAAAAATGAGAGGTTTTCTTTGACCCCATCACAGGTCAGAACACTGCAGCTGTTTGCCAGTTCTCCCCGATGGAGTGTACTGTCCTCCCAGCTCTGCAGGTTGGAGGATCATGCTTAATGCCTTTCAGGCAAAGTCAGCCAGGTTATCTTAAATCACCTTCTTTTGCTATTTGAACTGATTCCAGTGACTCGATCTGAAACAGATTAGAAATTACTTATGTGACTTCCTCATTCCCTTTCTATCAAGGGAAATTCTTCTATCAAGAGTGGTATCACAGTTGTTTTCAGCTGGTGATGCCAATGCTTTGAATATTCATTGCTGCTGACCAAAAGAGCGGGTCTGTGCCTGACCTTCCAAACCATGCCCTTGAATCAGCCTTAGAAGAGCCGTTGAAAACTGTTAATTTGCACCATGAGAAAAATAATGGCAAATGAGAAATAATTAAATTCTGTGGCTGAATAGTTTATTTTCTTTTCATCCATGTTGCACTAATAAAGTAAAGATTTAGAAAGCAGCAAGACAGGATGGTATGGGGAAGGGAACCCACATTTACGGTAATGATCACTCCTGTCTGTGTATGTTACTTTACAGTACAAATGATCTGTGTGTTTTACTGTATGCTTTAAGGTGCTCTGAATATTTTCTTTTAGAAACCGTGCCCTCTATGTGATGAAGCAAAAGAAGTGCTTGAGCCATATAAGAGAAGGGTAATGTATTGCAATACTGTATACATTTTCTATATAGAAAGAACAGTTAATCAGGATTCTTTCTTTGTAAAAGAAAATTGCTTGGATTTATTTGCATCCCTTGTTCTTTCCTGGGTGACCTCTTCAAGACATTTTCAGCACTGATTTTCATAAAACTCATTATCCAAAAGCATTTTGTGACAACGCTACTCAAGTAAGTATTGGCAAACAAAACCAATATACACCTTGTCACAGTTTTAAAACCACTGCTTTTGTAAATACTATTGCCTTGTCTGACAGAGGAGTTTGCAGCTTTTATGGGGCAGGTATCATTTGGGAAGAGTGTTAGTAAGCGGGGCTTCAAATATTTGAACTATATGTGATTGCAATTTTTGCCATTCTTCAACCAGGTTTTGATCTCTTTCTTGAAGGAAGAAACTGTTAACAGTAGCATTAAGAGGTGTTGCACTCTGCTGCCCAACAGGCAGCTGTTGTGTTGCCAGTTGCATATTTGTTGTGGTTGGTGCTCACAGGAGAGTGGTTCTGCACAGAGGATCAAGAATATTGTCCTGGACTAGGGAGAGAATCCTTTGCGGACACGCAGTCAAAGATTGTGGCTATATATATTTTGTAGTCACAAAATGTGCAATTGTCTACAACATGGAAGAATAAATCCAAAAGCACCACAAAAACAGCCTTGCATTTCTGAAAAAAATGTTGATCAAAAGACAAGCACGTATTGTTTTTCAGTGTCCAGTAGGTACTAACATATTTCTTTTCTGTCACAGTTTATTTTGCAGGAGGTGGATATTACCCTTCCAGAGAACTCAGCGTGGTATGATAAATACAAATACGACATACCTGTTTTTCATTTAAATGGGAAGTTCCTAATGAAGCATCAAGTAGACATTCAAAAGTTTGAGGACCAGCTTATGAAGCTGGAGTTGCAAAATGGTGGAAACCAGTGAAGAAAATGCAGCTGCTCTGGTGTGGATATGAAAGGACTGTGCAACATAAATTGCATGAAAAAATAGTATTCATTATCTGGCCTTAAGTTTCTTAGAACTTATGGTACCAGTATCCTAAAAAACTTGAGTGACTTGTATTCTATTTTGTCTTAATTATGCAACCAAGCTGCACCAATAGCAACTTTTTCTGTCCCATTCATTTGCTGCTATCCTAGGCTGGCTTTTCATTGACAGAATAAACGCTGCTCCATAACAGCAGATAAAGTGCAATGTGTTTCAAGATTGTTAGTACGTGTAAGCTGTAGGTCTGTAAGAGACTTCCTTGAAGAAGTCTAGGAGTCTATCCTAAGTGCTCATTCAAAATGGAGAAGAGGGCATTTACCATAAATGAAAAGGACACTTGATTAAAGACAGCACGCTCTCACTGAAGCAGAGTCGTATCTATAGAACAACCATCACAATTTGATACAGCTGTTTCTAACACATGAACACTGAATAGTTTATTTTTCTTCTAATGGGATAACATGTGTTGCACTTAAGTCTGTCTTATCTACTGCAGCAAGCTTTGAGCTCCTTAGTCCTTGAATTACTCCCAGTCACAAGAAAAAATAAAAACAGTGAACTATAATTGAGCCAAAAGAACTAAATCTGTAATGAAAAAGCATTTATTAACTCCAAATATGTCTGTCTGAATGCTACTGATTTCAGAGTATAAAACAAAAGCAAGAAACCCTAACAGTATCTTTAAAAATTTCCTGGCTTAAGATACGGGACTTCTCCCTTAGACTCCAGTTATGTTCTTAAAAAAATCCATGCTAACATATGGTCTTTTGCCCTGCTTAGGAATGCTTGTGGCATAATTCTCCATCATTACAAGTCCAGTGACCAGAGAAAACATGTTTCTCTGATATTATGGGAAGTGCTTGGTCCTATGGACTAGAGTTCTGTGGTAATTGGGTCCTGTCGTTATGCTTTCTGACAAAGGAATCTTATTTGAGTTCTGTCTCAACACAACTCAAATCCATTCACTGTGTGGCAAGAATACCCTTTTATCAAGGGTTACTGCAGTTCTGTTAGTGCATCATTGGCAATGTAGGGCTGTGAGGTAGGCAGACAGAATGCCTAAGTTGAATATATTTTCGGGAGGAGGAGATAGATAGATTAAGGAAAAGTCAACTGTTTTAAGTTGAATAGTCTGTAATAAACACTGGAGAAAGTTGTTGGTATTTTTTATCTACTTAATAGATTCTTTAACACAGAAACTAATCCCTGCCTGCTGCGTTTCTGTTCTTTCTACCATGGTGGTACTCAGTCTTCTCTTGCCACTAGGAATTTAAACAGCGACACTGGACGAATGTGTCTTCACAGAGGGCAGAATCCAGACACAATACCCAGTTAGAACAGCAAACTGAAATTCAGTAGGATTCATTATGGACTTTAGCTTTTGGAGTATGGTTCAATAAGAAGCCAGCTGATCTGCTATGGTGAAAGTGGGCAGTTCCTATATGGCCCCATCCTACAGTGTCTTTAGTGTTTGACAGATCATTTGCAGCCCAGTTATGATGTATTCTGAAAGATGAAAGATTTCTGGGCAGTAGGGGGTGAGAAATTAAAACTTTCCTCCAGTTCAGCAACTTGAGTCCACTCAGAAAGGGGTCTGAAAGTATCCAGGAGTTCTCAGGAGGGAGAGCTGTGCCCTTTTTATAGCAGAGAGCTTTAGGTAAGTTCAGCCACATCATCTAACTATACCCTGCGATTTATAGGACTTCAGAGACTTCCATTTCATAGCACTTCACCCTCCTCAAGAGGTCTGCAGAAAGAGAGTGACATCAAACAGGATGGATTCACTAGATTTGCAAGAGAACCTTAGAAGTTTAAGCATCTTCTTAAACCTGTTTAAGGCTTGTCATCAGCAATTCTGTAACTGTTTGATTCAAAACCGAAATTACAGCCAACTTTTGCTTCTAAAGGAAAACGCTCATCCTGACTGTAAGTAACAAGTTTATTCTTTTTGTAGCCTTATTTTACCTGTAGAGCCTGCTGCTTTACCTTGATGTGGTCATTTACATTGTAGCGGAAAAGTAAGTTGAGGAGTTTGTTAAGAAAAAAACAAGCTGAAACTTCTCAGGAGTAAGTGACTGAACTTGAGTAATCGGGCAAAGCGTTAAGTGTAATGCTTTCCCCAAGGTGAGGGGGGAAAAAAAAAGGCAAAACTTGAAATAGCAAGATGCTTCTTGAGTTGTATGTTGCAGCATAGCTTTGCTCTATCCACAGTGCTTTTCATCACCATTGGCAGAACAGGACCCTAGAGACATAAACTTCTATACTTTCTGCAGTTCATAATGCTACAGTCAAACTTCTAAGTGTACCACAAGTTACTGTTAAATAATAGGTCTGAATTACCTCTGTATCAGCAAGTGCCATTTGCTTTCCTTCTATAATCTGAGATGGTTTCAGAGGGTCCAGGTTTTTCCTTACTGAGGTTTTGTAATAAGAGAACTGGCATACAGCACTTTTTAACCATAGTTCAAGCAATTTTCTAAAATATAGCATTGTTATTGCAAAGATATGGAGGACAGAGGTCATGTGGACTTGCCCCATTTCCCAATATACATCACTGACAGAGGCTGGAATAGCCATCAGAGAGCAATTTGCCTTTGTTTTATTTTTAATAAGGTCTGTTTTGGGAAGAAAAAAAATGGAAGCTAAAAGCAAACTTCTTAATCATATAGGAGATGATGAATCCCTTGTTCCTTATTCATTCAGACTGTGGGGTTTTTTTTCTGTAGCCCATGCCAGATTTCCACCACCCCCCACCCCCTTTATTTTGTAAAGGGAATGATGACAGGATTTTTATATTAGCTTTTGTCTATGGTGTAGCCTTTATCAATGAGATGGAGGTTTTCCATTAGTTCTGGCTGTGGGTGCTAGTTGCATATAATGTGCAGAGAAGGGGTGGCTGCTTCTCCCAACTTTTCTTCTGGTGTACAGTCAAACACAACCCTGCATTGTGCATGCCTCAAACATCTGCCTTGTCAACACAAGTAGGAGATTCAGGTGTGTGAGAAAGGTCATTGTAGACCCATGTGCAAGCAAACAGGCCTGGACTCCAGGGTAAATGTTCTATGGTACGGGAAGATCACTGCCAGCCATTCCTCTCCAAACACGATCCTGTCCTTTCAAAGCCAAAACATGGGATGTGCTGCCAAAATCTTCCAGCAGTATCTGAGATGATGTTACTCTTCTAGTGTTTTAAGGGAGTGGAAGCCCTATTCTCATCAGTTTGGACACAAAGATAGGAGGTGGAAACATGTCGTATGGCAATACGTTGGTGGCATACCTCAAAGGAGGAGCTGTGCTATAATCGTTTCCAGATAAAAGCACTGCAGGACAAGGTGATGGGCAAGAGGCTGACAGTTCATTTTGGACCGCAGGTGCTACTGCAGGTTTCTCATTGCAAAATTAGGTTGTGTCAAGGTTGCTGAAGATGTTATTCCCTTCTCTGTTACCTTCTCTGAGGAATACAAAATACTGAAGTAGAAACTCCAGGAGCCCACCTTCTCTTCCGAAGTCAACAGCTCTGCTCAGTGGAATAATGAGGCATTCAACGACTATCTTCACACTAAGAGTTCACATCTTCTGGGTAGACGGAGAAGTGTTTCACCGTCATCTTCCATTTCCCTGCCATTATCAGTCCTAAAAATAGTCATGTGACTTTGTGATCCTATAGACAAAATAATTTATTAACCTCAATGGGACGAGAATTTTACCTCAAATAGTTTACTACTTTCCCTTTCCTTTAACATGTGGGGAGGCTGAACAAGCGCTTGTGTGACTTAGCATGACTAGCAGGTCTGCCACCTTCATTTTCCAAAAACAAGAAAGGATGTATCATATGTAAATTTGAGGGTTTTTTCTTCTTTATGAATACAATAAATGCAGCAGGCTCCCAGGATGTGCATGTCTCCAATCAAATGTGTTAAAGTATAACCTTAAAACAAGAAGGCATATTCCCCTGCTGAATATATATTTATGGAGGCATATGCAACTTTGTGAAAACTGGCAATTTACTCTTTTGGCAGGAGTGCAAAGCTCCATAATGTACTATCCCTATAATGTAAAAAGAGCTTGAATACAAGATGAATTTATTTCCTATTTCTTGTGAATTAAAAAGCACGTACACAATGTCCTATCTTCTTCCAGTAACTATAAATAACAAATACCCACCAGGCTTACTTGCTTATATGTTCTACTTCTCCGACTCTTTATTTGTGTCTTTAGATTGCACACAGTACATAGAAGGGATTGTCTTATTTCCTTAAGCACAGCACTCCTAGCACCATGTCTTCCCATCCAAACTGGCCTGTGATGCATAATCTCAGGTTCCCTTCCGGCTCCTTTAAGAAAGCTCTTTTGGTAGAGTATGGTTCTCATTTATATTGTATTTTTTATCTCTCTTATTAACTCCCCAAAATAACAAAAAACCTGCATGTAGACTTAGCCAATTCTGAAAGTATTAAGCTCTATTTCAGTCTTTTGCATGCATTCGTCTTTAATCACATGGCCATGTGGATTAACTACCAGTGCAGCAACATGTGGAAGTAAACAAAGCCACATGTGCAAGTGTTTGCAAGATCACAGCTCATTTTTTTGCTCAGTGACAGTATCAATTTCCAGTCAGCTTTGCTCTATACTATACCAATATGATGTCTTTTTTTCTATCACGCCCTGCTGGCAAGAAGGCTCCGTCCCATTCTTGTGAAGTTGCTGGACCTTGGATACCCAAACCTGAGTTCCTGCAGGGCAGGACTGGAGCTGTGAGATACACCTGAACAGGAAAGTTTCAGCAGTTAGGGAAGTCTGACTGAATACTGACTTGTGCTGCCTTGGCAAAAGGCACGGCAAGAACAACAAAACCACCCTCTGTCCTCTACCCTCACCTCTTGCAGCATTTCAGATCAAATTCTAGTCCTTGGTCTTTATCTTCAGGTGGTACATGA